ATTTATTTAGGCCTATCTATGGCCTTCAAAAAGTTGACGACTCTACATGTTTTGCTGTTACATCATCGTCTTCAGGAGTCCCGAGGACTACGTTGTAACATGTAGTCGTCAACTTTTTGAAGGCCATAGATAGGCCTAAATAAATGTTTTTTAATTGTGTACTAGTTTAACGTTGAATATTATTTATGATTTTAATAAGCCAATGATCGTATGCTAGTGCTCACAGGGATTACTGCACATCGAGGTTGTTTCAGCCTCCTACTGACAGAGGGCTATAGAATTATGATGATTACATCATAGGCTTGTGTAATACAGTACACATAGACATATGTAGTGGTGGGAGTTTAAGACTTGTATTATGTGTAGGAAATTCCACTGCAATAGTGTGCGAAATTATAGCTCTTAGTGGTGCTGAGAGGTAGGTAACATTTCTGAGTAAGTTTTTTTTTTCCTGAACATTGAAACTCCCCATCTAAAACTCCTGCCAATGATCATTCAAGAATGTATACTGATAGTAAATTAGTGACCTTAATAATAATAATACTAATTAATTGATTAATTAACAGTGCAACAAATTTGTGGTAACTAAACAAAATCAGTAATTTATACAAGTGGAATTCAGTGAGCAGGATCTGATAAAAAATTTACTGGACAATCTTTTTAACTTACACGTCTGTTTCTTGAATGTTCTTGATACCTTGTTCCATATCATCCTTAAATTCTTTCCACACAGTAATTCCAAGTTTATGTTTCAAGTCCTGGGCATACCTAACTTTGGAAGCCAAAACTTGCCGAAGTGTGATGATTTCTTCTTCCGTCTGTTTGCAAAAAAATATTTTAATGAAACTGAGGAGTTCAATCTTCACGTGTAAACTCAGTTGATTACTACACAAAGTACTTTTGCTTCTAGGACAATACCACATAAACTTAAGTGACAGCTCTTATTAATACCAGTATTATGTAAACCATATTAAATTATTAATACCAGTATTATGTAAACCATATCAAATTATCAATACTAGTATTATGTAAACCATATCAAATTATCAATACTTGTATGTAGTATGTCAATTGACAATTTTAATTAGCATAAAAATTAATAATTTTTTTCCCATGTTTACATCAAAAACAATAAAATACACATTATACCTTAGCTAGTTCCTCCTTCCACTCTTCCTCTAGCTTGGCTCTGTGTTCTGGAGCCACGTTAGATAGGTCATGAATTCCACTGTCTGGAGTTGCATCATACTCCTTTGTTTCCTTTGATGCATCATAATAAGTTTCTGAAAACAAAGTTTTTACTTGTTAAACTCAACTAAATTTCAACCTGATATAAGTAAGCAGAACTATTATAAACCAACTAGAATTGAAACAAGGCATTGCATCACCTCGGAATGAGTATCCATCGAGAGCATGATACCAACTTGAATGGGCACATACAAAAAAGAAAAACTTTTTAATTAAGATTCCATTTCTTTTGCAGTTTGGATTACTGTGTGTGTGTGTGTGTGTGTGTGTGTGTGTGTGTATATCACATAATGTAT